TGAGCCACCAAAAACAAGTTTCAAAAAAGAAAATATCACCTGCTAGTTACTGTCATGAACACTGAAAGGGTTTACACTGTCGTTGTTGTTACAATGATTTCAGCTGGGAGCTTATAAATCCCAGATGGGTGTAATCAAACTTTTGGTCTGTGGAAGGAAAGGGTCAGTCAGAAGGCTTCCGCTTGTCATTTGAGTGGTCATTGATTCAGAGAGTGTGGGAGTGATTTGGCTCTCTGCTCTTACACTCCAGTCAATGACAGTGTAGACAGAACAGCAATATCCGTTTACAGGGCGTACGCTGCTCACACAGGCACATTATACATTCAGTTCCTCCTGGGACACACACACCCTAGAGTTCATGTTTTTATTGTTTTCAGTTATAATTACCAAAATACATATATAATGTATGATAGACAGGCCTATATTAGAACCTGTAATGCTTCCATCTTATATGAATGCAGTATAACTGGTAGCAATGTTGTGTGAAACAGAGATGGTTTGCCTTATGTGGCTCTTAAAAAGCCGCAGACAGACATAGCTGAGTGTAGTGAACAGTAAATGAACTGGATTGGCAACTTTGTAAAGTGAGATGGTTTCCACTTTTTAGACTCATTGGGTCAACCGGTACAGAGTCTTTCCCTGCTACAGTGCCTTGCGAAAGTATTCGGCCCCCTTGAACTTTTCGACCTTTTGCCACATTGCAGGCTTAAAACATAGATATAAAACTGTAATTTTTTGTGAAGAACCAACAACAAGTGGGACACAATCATGAAGTGGAACGAAATCTATTGGATATTTCAAACTTTAACAAATAAAAAACAAAATTATTCAGCCCCCTTAAGTTAATACTTTGTAGCGCCACCTTTTGCTGCGATTACAGCTGTAAGTCACTTGGGGTACGTCTCTCTCAGTTTTGCACATCGAGAGACTGAAATTTTTGCCCATTCCTCCTTGCAAAACAGCTCGAGCTCAGTGAGGTTGGATGGAGAACGTTTTTGAACAGCAATTTTCAGTTCTTTCCACAGATTCTCGATTGGATTCAGGTCAGGACTTTGACTTGGCCATTCTAACACCTGGATATGTTTATTTGTGAACCATTCCAGTGTAGATTTTGCTTTATGTTTTGGATCATTGTCTTGTTGGAAGACAAGTCTCAGGTCTTTTGCAGACTCCATCAGGTTTTCTTCCAGAATGATCCTGTATTTGGCTCCATCCATCTTCCCATCAATTTTAACCATCTTCCCTGTCCCTGCTGAAGAAAAGCAGGCCCAAACCATGATGCTGCCACCACCATGTTTGACAGTGGGGATGGTGTGTTCAGGGTGATGAGCTGTGTTGCCTTTACGCCAAACATAACGTTTTGCATTGTTGCCAAAAAGTTTGATTTTGGTTTCATCTGACCAGAGCACCTTCTTCCACATGTTTGGTGTGTCTCCCAGGTGGCTTGTGGCAAACTTTAAACGAGACTATTTATGGATATCTTTAAGAAATGGCTTTCTTCTTGCCACTCTTCCATAAAGGGCAGATTTGTGCAGTATACGACTGATTGTTGTCCTATGGACAGAGTCTCCCACCTCAGCTGTAGATCTCTGCAGTTCATCCAGAGTGATCATGGGCCTCTTGGCTGCATCTCTGATCAGTCTTCTCCTTGTATGAGCTGAAAGTTTAGAGGGACGGCCGGGTCTTCGTAGATTTGCAGTGGTCTGATACTCCTTCCATTTCAATATTATCTCTTGCACAGTGCTCCTTGGGATGTTTAAAGCTTGGGAAATCTTTTTGTATCCAAATCCGGCTTTAAACTTCTCCACAACAGTATCTCGGACCTGCCTGGTGTGTTCCTTGTTCTTCATGATTCTCTCTGCGCTTTAAACGGACCTCTGAGACAATCACAGAGCAGGTGCATTTATATGGAGACTTGATTTCACACAGGTGGATTCTATTTATCATCATTAGTCATTTAGGTCAACATTGGATCATTCAGAGATCCTCACTGAACTTCTGGAGAGAGTTTGCTGCACTGAAAGTAAAGGTGCTGAATAATTTTGCACGCCCAATTTTTCAGTTTTTTATTTGTTAAAAAGGTTTGAAATATCCAATAAATTTCGTTCCACTTCATAATTGTGTCCCACTTGTTGTTGATTCTTCACAAAAAAAAGACTAGTAATTATAATTGTAGCCGCCTGTGTTGAGCAGGAACATGGAGGCAGCAGATGACTCACAGCTCCAGAGCCAGAAACACCTGCAGGTCAGTGTCTCTTACCTCTGCCTCCCGTGATTGATTAGTTGGCCTCTCTTTCTCTGTTGAAATACTCCTTGGCACATGGACACACTATTCCTGTTGCATACAAAGAAACAAGTTCTGACTTACCTTCAACTCTGCAGGTATGCAGCTAGCTACAGTGCATCCGGAAAGCATTCACAGCGCTTCACTTTTTCCACACTTTGTTGTGTTACAGCCTGATTCCCAAATGGATGAAATTCATTTCCTCAAATTCTACAAACAATATCCCATAATTACAATGTGAAAGAAGTTTGTTTGAAATCTTTGAACATTTAATAAAAATAGGCGATAATAAGTTTTATATCTTTATGTTTGAAGCCTAAAATGTGGCAAAGGCACTGTAAGTTAGTAGGAACGGGCCTTTTGACGTAATCAATAATGAATTAGTACATACTGCATTGAATTGTTTTTATCTAATGTTATTCTATTAAATAACCATGGGTGATGCATGTGACTTTTTTTATTTTCCTATGTTAGCCTATTATAATTACATCAAAAAATCTAATGTTGAGTCTGATGAGAAAGATGCTAGAAACGCTGTGTGTGTGTGTGTGTGTGTGTGTGTGTGTGTGTGTGTTTATGTGAATGGGTTGGATGGGGGCTTGGGTGGCGGGTGGAGCTCTAATTGGATTACAAATGAGCTCAAGGACTATAATAATTGAGACGGAGAGGCTTCTGAGCGCAAAGACGTATTTTGAGTTCGCATTGAGCTCCTTTAAGACAAAGCAAACGGTCTGAATCATCTTAACAGGTAAGTCGTTGATGTTCTTTTCAGCACACATAGATTGTTGTGATAGAGGAGCCTGATGACATTATGATAGGTTACTCTGTTCATTTAGAAGAAGTAAAGATGTACCAGCCTATTTTCTAACAAAATGCTATTATTTTAATTTTGTCACATGTATGGTTTGTTGGATGAATTAATGAATTGGCTGATTGACAGGGTTGGTTTCTCACTACAAAATACAAAACACCACTGTGCTGCGTTACAGTGCTGAATCGTCATGTTCATAATGCCTATAAATCCATTACTGTCTGCATCACTACTGACCAATGACAATTGTCTTTATAATACTGTACTCAGGTTTCATTGCCTGTTGCCATGACAGTATGATAATCCTGTGATTAATTTTAAGCCATTTTATTGTTTTTTTTGTTATTATTTTACAGATCCACTATTTCCAAGATGTAATTTCCCTACAATTTGTTGTGTCCTGTCGGCTGGAGAGCTATGTAATTTGGTACTAAAATCCTGAGAAGTTTTAGTTAAGCAGTTTTTGATTTCCAGAGGAACTGCTCAGTTTAACCCTAAATAAATATGTACTCATCATTCACTTATTTTTACAAACATAATTGTTCAGAATTTTATGCATGCTTGCAGACAAATTACACATTTTGCATGTTTAACTAACCTGCTGTGAATTGACTAAAATAGCTTTTTGGTTTAGTCATTGAGTTGGAATGAATTAACTGGAAGGTGACAAATTCAACATCGTTTCTATTTGACTTATTGCCTTAGAGCAAAATCAGTTCTTTTAAATTACACTTAATACCTTATAATAAGGATACCAAACACATGCTTAACTAAAGGTGAACTAACATGTCATGTCATTCATACATGAATTTATATGCCACCAAATTAGCTGAAATCCAGTTCCATAGAAAAGGGGCATTTTAGGCCAATTAACTGTCACAGATGCAGTTCACCACAGTTAACACCACATTTGTTGCATAAGCCATTGTGATGTATCTTTCAAGACAGTCATTAGTGATTTAATTAACGTACATTGAAAAACAACCAGAGAAACATTTGTTGTAGAAGAGGCTGTGATTACGGCGGGCTGTCATGTTGATTGAATGGATTACATTTATCACGTGAAAACTGTACTTAATGTGCTGGTTCAGTTACTGATGCAATGGGAGTGAATGGAGGCTTTAAAACACTTAACATGGACACCTTATAGTTCATAAAAGCTTACGTAAGTTTGTACTGCACACAATGGAGATTATAAGGTTTATAAAACTGAACACTGAAATCCTGTTTACTCACGGCTTAGTTAAACATTTTCCCATAGCAGAGCTGGTAGGAGGAGCACCTTGAGTGTTGCTGATAAAATTAAACACCTTTTTTTTCTCCACAAGCGACAGAAGGCTTTACTGATTATGTTAATATGTAAAATATGTGTGTAGGTGCGCATATGTGTAAATAGGTGTTTAAAAAGTGAAGATTTCTCTGTGTTTAAACTGTAAATTTCAGGTCTCACTTAACGTGGAAGTAAAGAGAAGGATTGAGCGGCACTCCCTTAGCTTTGAAGTACATAGTACAAATGTTTTAAAGCCTGTCATTAAAGATAATTACTTTGTGGGAGAGATGAGACATCTGTGAGCTGACGTAGTGTTTTTTTTTAAGCTGAAGAGCTGAAAAGAGGATGCAAAACTTGAAATTGCTGAAAACTCAGAATGTATAGGTGTCACACCAAAACATCTGACAGTATGTAGCCTATGCTATCCCAGAATCAAAAAGTTTAAACTATGACAATTTTTGCTTAAACATCTGAAAATGTGACTGTAGTGAAAAAGTCAATGTTTAGTTGAAATTGGTTACAAAATACATTTGTGTGTTGAGGAAAGACTGTGTAGGACACTAGGAAAGAAAACGCACATAAAAAAAACCACCTTTACCCCAGGGTCCAAAAGCTCACCGCCTGAAACAGCAGAGATGGGAGTTATGTGCAGGTTTTGCGTTCATCTGACCGACGGACTTACATTTCAGAGTGATGGAGAGAACTCCAAACTGCTGCGCTATTACTTCACTGATCGCTTTGGCCATCCTAGTCTTATTTCCTGTGAGGTCTTGGTGTGAGGAAGACACCTACAAATTGCCAGCACAGGTAAGACTACCTACATTTATATGATATTTACAAAGTCAGGAGAGTTATGGCCAGATCCTCCAGGCCACTGCAGCTTAATATTTTTACGGGTGGAAGCTGTCATGGAAATTATATTCCTGGTGAGGGGCTGAGCAAATAATTGAGTTACAACAAACTGTTGTCTTTGAAGAATTTATTTAACAAAAGAGCATAAACAGAGAAGTACTACAACACAAATCAGCTGGGCCAGAGGTTCTGTCTCCTAAGACAGTCACTAACATCTGGCCCCGAGCAAAGAGATGCATCATTTACACAGTCTAGGTCTCTATGTTTTGGCGAACAGAGATCCTCTCTCGGCCTTGAATGAACATTCCAGGAGAGGAACAACAAGAGAGGAAAAGCACCAAAACAATCTCACAGCTCTGACCTAAACCCTAGTAAATGTGGACAGACTAACATGGAAGAAGTGTAGGAGAGGAAAGGTTGAGGATAAAACACAATACATAATAATAATAATAGTAAAAGAACATACATAAAAGATTAAACGTAAGAGGACACAATTTTCTGCCATAACAGAAGCTAGCTGAAAGGAATAATAATTTTTTAACAGGCCAACAAGCCAGAGTGCTGTGTTAATGGAGCTGCACAGCTGCACAAGAGATTTGATGACATCGACTATGACAGCTTTGTGAGTCTAATGGGAAGGAGAAGTGCTGCTCATGCTAAGAGTGAGTTATGTTTTTTTGTTTGTTTGTTTTTTGCAGGAAACACCTTGTACAGTACTTTCACTGACAGTGGAACTCATCAAACTCTTTTTGCAGGTTACAGAAACACCCCAAAGTCAAGAAAAAGTCAAATTAAATGACAAACCACTATCCAGCAGTTTTTCTGTAATAAACTCTGTAGCTTTATAGCAATGTAATACATACTCTGTTCATTGCATGCAGGAGACATGGATCACATCTTCACTGCTCTGCTGGGACGGAGAACAAGTGAGCGACTTTAGCAGCACTGATAGCAATTTCTTCAATAAGTCATACAATATTTTACTGCTTCATTTCACACTATTTCACAGTGTATTGTGTGGCTATGTGTAGGTCAGATATGAAGATATTAGTGCATGGCCTACTGTGTTTTCTTCTTTTCAGTACCAGAAATAAAAACTCCCAGTTTTTCTCAGCATGCAAGTTTAGCTTCAGGTTACATTCATATATTTGGGCAATATTATGTGCAGATTTGTGATTCACATGATTACAGCCTGACCAGTAGACCTACTTGACCACTTGAGGTCAATGCCACTAATGATATTTGAGTGTTAAATTGAAGGATAACAATATCGGCTGACATTTTTCCCCTATACCATATGTAGTTATTACATAATTGTAACCAAGATGTGTAATAGCAGGACATTTTAGAGTTAAAAAAAATACTTGTAGGCGTGTTGTGCTTACTTCGTTTTATAGCCTATTTTTATTAAATGTTCAAAGATTTCAAACAAACTTCTTTCACATTGTAATTATGGGATATTGTTTGTAGAATTTTGAGGAAATGAATTTCATCCATTTGGGAATCAGGCTGTAACACAACAAAGAAAAAGTGAAGCGCTGTGAATGCTTTCCGGATGCACTGTAGCTAGCTGCATACCTGCAGAGTTGAAGGTAAGTCAGAACTTGTTTCTTTGTATGCAACAGGAATAGTGTGTCCATGTGCCAAGGAGTATTTCAACAGAGAAAAAGAGGCCAACTAATCAATCACGGGAGGCAGAGGTAAGAGACACTGACCTGCAGGTGTTTCTGGCTCTGGAGCTGAGAGTCATCTGCTGCCTCCATGTTCCTGCTCAACACAGGTTGATTATAATTACTAGTCTTATTAGTGTCATGAATATTGCTAAAAAAAGTTAAAACTTTATTCTCATCATTAGGACTTTATTCTCGCAATGAAAAATAAATAAAACATCTTCATCCTCAATTTTTTTCCCCCTGAATGTGGCCCTAATACCCCGTCGTACTTACTGTTAAACTACTGTTTCTATTTCTGTGTGGATATTGTTTTGTCTGCTTTTGTTATGAATTGGCGGTATATAAATAAAATTTAATTAAATCCATTTACAATTAGAAAGGGAATAAAAATCTTTGTTGCTTAATCTTTTCTAAACCTTGCTCTCTCCACTCAGGTTTCAACGCTTTCCGTAGTGGAGCTGTCACACCTCCACAACCTCAACACGCCTTCTGTCTCTCCCACAGTGCTGATAAATCCTCACAGCTATGGCATCCACAGAGGAAAACATATTAAAGTTATTTAACCCAGAAAAGTGAAAAGGCCATATTAACCACACATGAATGCTTTTCTACCGTCACTGGAAAATGTTCAGACATAACAATGTAGTATATAATGTATACAAATGTAAAATAAAACATATGTACAATAAAATATGCATTTATTTATGGTGATTAAAGTACCATTCAATGAAAATAATCCTGCACACTGATCACGTGTGCTCACACAAACTCATTTGCACACCAAAGCCTATGGACTCTGGACGTCAATACCAACATGAATTCTTTTCAAATATAAATACAGTACTGTACACCTTTCCCTTTCATACAATTTGAATGTTAGAGCAGATTGTCGAGTACTTGATGTGTTGCATCACTGACATCAGAACCCATATGTGGCAGTTATCAGTGGAGTGTTTGGGGCCTCGGGTCTTTGATCCACTGATATCAACCGTCTGCATGGCAGTCCTGTGGTAGACTGTTAATTCACTTGAAAACAAAGAAGTGATTCACTTTAAATAAAACCGTCATGAAAAACATGCTGATATGATTTAACATGGACTTTTAATACAAAAAAACTGAACATGCTCTGTGCTCATGTACAGAAGGAAACACTTGAGAATAAACATTTACAAAAAGGCATTTTTAATGGACTTTAGTCAACTCATATAGTTGTAACCTGAAAGGAGAATAAAAGGTTTAAGTGATTAAAAAGAAAATCAACTATAACACTCAAAAGTGCATGCAATTTTCACATAAATTGAAATGCCTGAATCATGGAGCCATTTTCTGTATTTGGCAAAAACCGTATTGTCCACAAAATTAATTGTTTATTTGGTTACAACATAATAAAGGAATGAATACTTTTAAATGTACACAATGTACTAACTATAAAATAAAAGGTCTGGCCTGAACAGAATTTAAAAAATTACAGAAACAGAAAAAAAAAAAGAAAGAAATCTTGCTTATTCAAAATACAAGTTGTCCGCTGGCTTGCCCACAGGACCATGCTCATTACACTGTAAGGATTCAATAAAATAATACTCCATCTGAAAGCATTACTCTCTGTGTTTATGCCACAGTGCAAAGTCATGTGTGCTGCTGACTGCTCATACAATCTCACTTTACAAGGCACAAGCTAATGGGTTCACTGGGGGAAGCCGCAGGGCGTGGTGCCTATTGTCAGTTTCAGAACAGGTAGGTAAGTTTATGCCATGGGTGGTTGGGCGTATAATGCAACTCATTTCAAATAAGAAAGAAAGACCTTAAACGGTCTACTTCCCTGTCAAGTTTAAAGGGAGTTAATCAATTCAAAGAGGAATGCTTTATCAAATGAAGAGATTAACATCCTGAATATTTGTGGTAAACAACCCAGAAGAACACAAATAATGTCTGTGTATAGTCTGTCTTCACTCTTTGGCTGGACTGTAAAAATGTTGTCTTTTGGACTTTTCATTTAAAGCACCATGGTCACATCCATGTACCTCTATTAGGCAGAAAGAAATATGAACACATATAAACTGTGCTTTTCCTATGAAAAGTGTGTATTTTGGGTTTTTCTTTTAAGGGGTCAACTTTTGGGAAGGTAGGTAGTATCGCTCGATCAAGGCTGCAACCCTCTGTGGGGCAAAATACTTTTGTTGCACTATCACAGTAACTGACAGAAAACAGCTGTTTTTCTGAGTCCTATGTGATTATAAATTGATTATTTTTCTGTTTTTTGACTGTTAGCCCTAGTCATTTTAATAACATAATGAAAACTTCAGAATATACTACACGAGCCAAATAAAATACTCTTTGTGTAAAATGAATCTTTTAAGAGTGAGCACAGCATACAACTGAATAAAAAGCTATGTAAACCTGGATGTCCGATTACACTTGCCAGCACTGTGAAAATGCTTTCGAAAGCAGCCCGATACAAGTTTGGGAGGAAGTAAACTGCGCAGTGGTCCATTTCACTTATAGGCAGGGTGGAGTTTTTTTGAATGCAGAAGGAATCAGATGCTGGTTTGATCAGCTGGGTCTCATTAGCTTCAAAGGCATCATTATGTGCGAAATCAAGTCAGACAACTCCAGCAAGTCAAGAAGCACTTCGCTGTAGTGTGTGTTATTATAGCAATAGTCAAGAAAAGAACATAACTCTGGCAAAGTCAAATTTAACTCACTAATATGCTGTCCTCCTTCTCATTTGATCATCATTCAAACAAAAGCAGCTTACAGAAAGCTATTCCCAAGAAGACACTCGATTGTAAAACAAACCTGAAAAACAGGGTGGGGAAAGTCACAAATCACCTCCAAAAAACAGTCTTGCTGTCACAGTTCACATCAGTAGCACTCCTTCAGACAGCGAATCCTCCTCTCAGACATTTCAAATCAAAGTGGACAGTTTTTCTACTTTTGTAGAAATATGAGCCAAGATTATCAGAATGAATAAGCAAAACACTCATCACTCTACCTGACCTAATGATCAGCCCTCTCCACACACCCACAGAGTCCTGCTGTTATTTGCCCACTGGAGCAGGAGGGTCTTTTCCAGCTGCAGGAGGGGGATCTGCATCCTGTTTCTTGTCAGTTCTGGACAGATCATCCCCCTCTGCGTGCCGTTTCTCCTGAGAAGCCAGCTCTTTTTTTCCTTTTGCGGCATCCTGGGAACCCAACTGCTCCATATTGTAGCCTAATGGACCAGGGGGCTGGTAACGGTATCTGTAGCCAAAGGCACGCAAGTGATATGTGTAGTACTCCAATAAATACATGTGTGAAGCATCTACATAGTGGAAAGACACAGACACGTCCGAGCAGCAGTTTGGCCCCTGAGGAAAAACAAAGTGTGTGGTTAGGCAACATCACACAGACGTCAAAGCGAGATATTTTCTGTGCGCAAAACAAACTTCATTTGCATGCATGTCAGAAGGTAATACATGTGTACACCTAAACATAACAATGAATATGAATAACAAGTCACTCCTGTTTAGCTTTTGATATCACTGTGGCTCCGCCAGTTTCACAATAAAGCTAACAACACTGACACATCTGTTCAAATATTAACATTGCTGAGGTTGGTCATACTAAGCCCACGTCAGAGATTTTATTGTTTGCTGGACTTGCCTCTGAGATGGGGTAGTAGCAGTAACTCCAATACCAGAAGCTCTTGGGGAACTTGGCAGTGAGGTGCTGCTCAGGGACAAATGGGTGAAATGTCTCCCTGTGGATGCTGTCTCTGGAGTCCCCTGCCAGCACCCCAACTTTCTCCATGCACTGGCCCATTGCCAGGTCCTCCACAGAGGTAGTGTGAGTGCACAGTTTGTTATTAAATCCTTCTACAAATCGCCGCAGAGCCTCTTTGCTCAACACATAGCCCGCACCACCGCTCATGTAGCCCTGCTTGGTGTAGGGTTTGAATCTTCGGCCAAAGTAAATTGGCTCTTCGGGAGTGTGGTTAGCAAGAACCCACCGCAGGTTGTCTACTATAACGTAGGTGTCATCATCTGCCTTGAGGAACCAATCGGCCTCATGGGCATGATGCTCATAGGCATAATGGAAGGCCCGTATCGTTTTCCAGTACAGCTGGTCTCGACCCTCCTTTGTACCTAAGCCCACCGTGGGGAAGTCGGGGTCCTCCTCAGAGCTCATGAAGACCACGACATTGCAGTGGCGACTCCATGTAGACTTCACATGGCGAGCCTTCTTCTCCAGGTTGTTGGGTCCAGTCATCACCCAGCAAAGAATACGCACCTTTCTGTACAGTTCATCAGCCATGTGGCCGTCCTCACCTGATAAGGAGATATACAGATGGACACCACATTTTACACTGTAATCTCTCCATAAAGAAAAAAGTGCTCATTTCCATTTCAAACTGAAGAAAAACCTGGTTACCCGTACACATGGTGGAGAAATCAACGTTCTCCAGGAGAAACTTTCCTGGGGATTTAAGGTTTCTCTAACCCCACACTCCAATTATTGAAACAAGGTTTATTGTTTACATGACATTTAAGCCGACTGCAACACTTAAGTGCACTGTACTTAAGGCGCTGATGATGAGCACTTGATTTTAAAATTGGATACGGCACAACTGGTCATGATCCAAAATCATCAAAGTGAAAGCACGCTTCATCTAAATCTAAAGTTAATAAAATAATAAATAAAATACTTTTAACGTGTATATCTTTTGTGTTCCCCATATAAGTACAGTATTTACAGGACATCTTGTCAGTCATTTCTAGATCTTAATACTTGAAATAACTACTCTAGATTTTCTCAAATTCTGTCAGTCAAAATAATGTTGAGCCGTGAACTCTGAGTGAAACGGAATCTTAATATATCTAAAGCAAATCAGCTTTGGATTTCAGTCAACCAGACAGTTAGAAATGAAACTGCTGTACACTTGTTATCACAGTACTTGTAGAGGAAGCAGTTTCATTTAAATTCAGATCTAGTAGTAATATCACACTGAGAAAACACTCCACTACAGGTAAAAGTCCTAGATAGATAGTTTATTCATCCCTGATGGAAAATTGCAGTGTAATACACAACATTCACAAAACACACATAGGGTATGTGGCATTCAAGCATGGGTGAGTTTAACAGGAATGACTTCCTGTAGAGATCCTTTGTCTGCGGTTTGTTGTCCGACAGGTAGTTCTTGCAGAAGATGTATAGGACTGTGCCAATTTTAACTACTTCATATCCTGCTCAATAGTTTCAACAGCAATGCATCAAAGTCTAAGATCATCATATATTTGTAGCGTCACTGTCCCGTGAGAACCATGTACCTCTAAAAAGACAACTTTCCATGAACTTAGAAAAACAGCCCTTTTTCCAGCTGATCTAAGGTCGGTTTAAATTGTTTATTCAGATTAAGAAGTGGGATAATTTTCTCAAACCTTAAGAGAAATGCTTCGTCCTCCAGTTTATTTATTAAAATCACCACATTTGGAGATATGTGGTTTTCACTGGACAGGAAAGATATGAAAAATTGTAATCTAAAAAGTAACTGGTTATTAAAGCTGTCAGACAAATGTAGTGGATTAAAAAGTACAAATTTGCCCCTGAGATGTGGTAAAGTATAAAGTAGCATAAAATGGAAATATTCAAGTAAAGTACAAGTAGCTCAAATTTCTACTTAAGTACAGGACTTGAGTAAATGTACTTTAGTTACATTTCACCACTGAGTACAACATACAGTACATAACTTCAACTATTTCCAAGGAGCATGAAGAGGGGACACAGTCTGTGTGCAAAGAGACTATTGGATAAAAAGTTGGGTAAAAAGAACAACTTCACGGTGAGACTTCACAATAAAGTTAGACTACAAGTATTGAGTTTTGTATCAGTATCAGACCACACACATATAAAACCGGACAGTGTCTGAGACAAGCATACAATGCCCAATTATGCACACAAGAGTTAAGTTACAAGAAAACTGAAACTTGATCTAGTGATTCAGTAAGGGATGTGAATAACCTGCTAAACTACATATTACACAACCCTGGTTAGAGGACGGGATACTTTATAATGCCTTGACATATTTTAGACACACTAATAATAAGGTATGTCATTCTAAAATATAATGTTATTGTATATGAAATAAAAAAGGGGGACAATTTCGGTTTTTATAATCTGTCAAATATAACTCTTCTGAATGACATCAAGTTATTTTGAAGCAGAAACTACATTTTAGTCAATAGGTGGAGGCTGCAATCACTTTCTTGCAAGTACAATACTGCATTTTAGGTGTCGTTTTGGTCAGGTAAAGGTATTTGAAGAGGTAAAAAGTACTAGGTGAGTTATAATCTGTCACAATAAGATGATAAATAGTTGCTCTGCTGTCCAATCTTTTGGCTACGTAAAATTTGATTTCAAGTCTGTTAACACCTTATCCAGTGTATGATTAACACACAGTAAAAACGCGGACAACTCCAGATGCTGGAGACAGCAAAACCGGGGACTGTACCCGGAAAACGTCTGGTCACCCTAACTAATACGCCGTACCGTTACCTGTATGATTAGGGTGCCTCAGGTTGAAAAGAGCAGACCTCTCCTTCTTCCATTTTGTCCCGTCGTCCTGTTGTATTGTGTCATGGATTTTGACGAGGCTGGTGGCCTGCTGTGCTGACAAAGTCCTCTCAAACCACACCTGCCGCAGAAACACGTACAGTGTGAAGGTTCCCACAACGAAACCCAAATAAAAGGAGACTCTGGAGCCGAGGGACTTCATGCTGGACCAGGAGGCTCGCTGTCACTGTCGCTCAACTGGGCAGGTGCTGAGTAAGAGACTGAGACCGACAGCATGGACACACAAGGGCCCAAGTTTTGGGCTGTCCCCTGGCTGTGTGGCTAAAGGCGAAGTGACAAGTGTTGGTTCAGTGTCATTCCCTGTTTAAGGTGTGGTTTTCTCGCCAGCAGCATTGCAGACAGAGCAGCAGCATCATTCCGCAGCTACTTCATCATAACTGGGGGCACGAACTCGGAAAAACTAAAGCTGATACAGTTTTGACCACGGCGTAGCGTTTTTCTGTTCTCCAAACGATAACTTAGCTCGGCTAGCCACACTAACACGGTACTAACAGGTCTCCTGACCAAAAGCGACCGAGAAACGCAAACCAAATTATTACCGGGACAGAAAAACAGCAACAGTATAATGTCTGGCTTCAATCGTTGGCTCCTGGCCTGAGTGTTGAGACAACTGGCGTGAGCTAACTGGCTAATCCGTTATCTGATCGCCCTGCTAACTTCAGGGATCCGTCCTGCCGTCCGTGTCAACACACAGCTAACGGAAACGTTACAGACTCACACGACTGCTGACTCGGACAAACCCAGTACTTCAATAACGTACTGACTAAAACACCAATATGAAATCGATCCACAAAGATGCGTAAACTGCGTCTAACTTGTGACTACGCTCTCCGTGCAGGAAAAGCAGCTATTTCCGGCCAAGTATTTCAAATGAAAAGCGCACTGTACACAGACATGTGTCCTCCTGCAGAGAAATATACAGGTGTTGCAGCAGATTATTAAACTTTTTTTCACCCACAGTTTTTGATTATTTTTAGTAAGGTTCACATATTTTAATATGTGTAAATTAATCCTAAATGTGACCTAAAACACAAGACTGTGGCACACATACAGAAACTGCAGTGTGGTTTGTCTGTGCCCACTTAAATCATTCACTGCCGCTGTCAATCAAAGTTACACTCTTTTTCATGCAGCTGATCCTCTAATTTCACATATCTGACGGTCTTAGGACACGCACAGTTCCTTGTTACAGCTCTCAAAATACAATCACATAGAAGTATGACAAAACATCTGCGTCAAAATGGCTTAAACTCCTACTCATATCAGTAACTTCCGCCCAGCTTTCAACTTAAAACTATTGCACAAACTGGCTATTAATGATCGACATGCTTGCAAATATTAAATGAAGGAAAACATGCATATCAACATACCCTGCTGACTGACGGCCAGTAATTTACCGTTAATATCACAGCTAAAATCAGGTGTTTCATTGTTTATGTAGCATTTTCAGCCGTCAATCAATTATTATCATCATAATTAGTGAACAAATGACTGTGGCGCTGAAGGCACGAGGGCAGGCAGTATGTTTATCTAACACAGGAGACAACACAAAGTTTATTATTAGAACATTGAAAAATAATGGAAGGATGGTGTTCACAGCACTCCTATTGTGTTTGTTTTATTTCAAAAGAACAAATAGAGTGGTGCTGAAAGACATATTTACAAGGCAGCAGGGATGAACCTTTGTCAAATATATAGTATAAAGCCAAAATGGTGTTCCTAATACAGTTATATAGCCCAATTCAAATACACAGTAATTTAAATATCTTGTATTTTCTGCCTCTATACTGTAATTGCCACTGTTAACAAATAATCTGCACAGGTGAAATGTGAGGATCAAAAGGATTACTGCAGAGAAACCAGTGTTATGGCACACCTAGCTTTGTGATCCAGGCTGATTAAGCCTAAAGACAGCGGGCTAGCTGATGAATGGGACTTTATGATACAGGCCTCAGATCAGGTAAGACCATTAAGGGTGGAACCATCTTAATTCTTTGAGAAGACAAATTAAATTTCAGTTGGCAAAGTAAAGAAACACACCCACAATGCCCTTTGCGTTTTTCTGCTCTGCCGGTTTGATCTTGAGCCTCTGGACACTGGCTTCTTTATGAACAAATGCCTCACTTGTCTGTCTGGAAAAAGTCCGTGCGACTGTACTGTTTCACAGTGAAAAGAAGTTTCCTTGCCAGATTGCACAAACACATTTACTCAGGTAACTTAAATTCCACTTAATTTGTACTAATATACAACAAATCAATTCAAAAACATTTTTATGCGATAATTATGTACATCTTGAGTTCCAAGTAGCCACAATAATTCACAAACTTTACAAATTCAGCCCTTTTAAGCACACGTCTTAAGGATCCATAGAAAAGGTTTTGTGTTGATTCACTATTCTGGTACACTGAATCTGAAGGACACTGTATCTTTCTTTATTTTCCTTTGCTAAATTAAGGTAAATCAAATATAGGGAAGTTCTCGTCAGAAACAAAAACAAAGCACACACTTTACGAGATTTATCTTCCCACACTCAAAGGTTTTCAAAAAGAAAAACACTTAAACAGCACATGACAACCCAAGGGAAGCCTCACATTTTTGTGAAACAATGTTAAAATTCTGATTTTACGGAACCTTTTCCTAAAAATATAGTGCCACAGCATGTGTACAAACACTTGTGTAATCTACAGCTGTGTTTACTGATTATCACCAAACGCAGCCTGTCAGAAAGTTTCAAAGACAAGTGGGAATTGAAATGTGAACCTTCGAGTATTTGTCATTTGTTTTTCATATCCACACAATCTTTTCAGTAAACAGTAAATTTAGCATCTACTTTGGTGAGACATGGCCCCATGTCACTTAAAGGTAATGACTTCTTTGTCAATGGCAACATGAGACGAAGTAAGTGGACACAGTGTGCTGCTGACAACTTCAGAACTAGATGCAAATATTCAGTGAAATTCACTGAAATACTTCTACAAAGGTACATATTGTAAATCACTCGGCATTTTATAGCCATCTATCAAAACTGAATCCCACAAAAAGGGGAAAATGCATAACTTTATTCAGCTGCACATATACAGCTGAGATGTTGCAGTTTTCATCATGCAACATGTAACTGGTGCCTACTATAGATACACACTGCCTATTCATGACACACAGACACATTTTCTGAATATGCAAACAGGTGAGCTGATATCATCTGCCAGGTTTAATAGCAGTAACTGAATCATATGGGCTCCTTTCTTCTTCTTTGTTTTCCCCCATTTGCGGCTGCACGTCAGAGTCCTCCTCTCTGCTGGTCTCCACAGGAGTTTACCGTCACAAAAGATACACTGAATGTACTGAATGACCTTATATGTCCACATCGTCTGAGTCCGAGGTGCTGGATGACTGGGACTCCTCCTGGGACTCTCCCCACACAAACCTATAGTTGTTCTCCAACTCCTGCTGCCTCTTTTGCTCTTTGTAAACCTCTTCTGTGCCTCCAGTCTGTAAGATGGGGAGGGGGGGGGGGGCGTTAATAAAACCACAACATTTCTGATTTTATGTTTATATGATTTGCTGTTTGTTCCCCCCTTTTTTTAAAGTTAGTTAAGAAAAAGCTCATTAAACTCTTTACTCTCTTACTCATTATTCAATGTGCTCTGCTCCCTGTCTTTGCAGGTTAATGTTTTCTAATAAAAAGTGCATTAATATGTCTAGTCAAGGTAGCTCAACTCTACAATTAAACGCTGCAAGAAACCCTGCGCACCTCTCCTAGCAAACTTGACACCCACTGGTCATTACTTGCTCCAATATTGCAGACTGGTTTTCTAAAGCACAGCATGATGAGACAACTAGTGGTTTCTATGCAATGTGTAATCTGAGCCAAAATAGATTTCTCCTCATTTACATTATAAGATTTATATCACGCTCTTATCTGTTGTTAAACTGCTGTAGCTTTGTATTTAACAGACAAACATCAGAGCAGTATCAATGTTCTCTTCTAACTCTCCGCCAGAAAGCGAATAAACATGTTTCCCAAAATGTCAAATTACTGGCTTTAAGTTTACAAATGGTCCAGAATCAACATACATTTTGTTCTTTCCTTAGACAAATACACAACAGCTGTCTCTGTTCTCACAAAGGCTGATATTATTCACTAAGCAAACTCTACAGCTGTTGGCAAACACAGTATAATGGCCCATAAAGGCACAAACTCATTTAAAAGGTCACCATCAGTTGTTCTTAAATTACCAGGAGATTTATGAGAAGCTCCCTGAAGGACTTTGTATCTTCCTCAGTCAGCCACTGATCACCCGCCTCCTCTGCATTTTTCCGCGTCAAAATCTTCACTTCAATTTTACCTAAAAAGAAAAAGAAGGGAAAAGGCTTTCCAGTTAAACACGTGTACTTTCAAGTGGCTGAGAGTAAGGCTACATCCACACTACCACGTTTTCGTTTTAAAACGCAGACCTTTTGCTATGTTTGCACCTCCTGTCCATACTAAGACGGTGATTCCGAATGTGTAAAACAGAGAAGTCTGAAAACCCTGCTGACCCCGTTTTCGGTTTAAAACTCCAGTGTAGCGTTTTAGTGTGTACAGGCGAAAACGAAGCACTTTAAAAGAGATGACGCAGAAACTTCCTGATTGGGTTTTTGTTTTGTTTTTATTAAAATATTTTGTACTGTGCAAATAACACTTATACTGTGCATGTTGCCGTTTTTGCTTTGGGATGAATCCCAATCTGTTCTTTGCCACCACAGTCACTTTGTACTCCCGTGTTACTTTTAGTAGCAGTTCCACCTCGTTGTCGGTCCATGCAAAAAAAATCTCTGGTGTGGTTCTTTGTCTGTTACTTTCTTCTTTCGCTAAATCTTCTGCTACTGCAGAGTGGACCATCTGCTTCCTGTTTACACCGGCATGCACAAGCCCAGTGTACGTGAAAGGTCGTTAGATGTGCGTTTTCAGTCGTTTTAATAAAGATGGAGATCAATGCTAAAACGCTGGTATGTACGGAGATCTTCGACATTTTAATACTCCGTTCTTAAACAAAAACATAGTAGTGTAGATGTAGTCTAAGAAAGCTGTACCACATGTGAAAACAATAAACGATCATGATGAAGAATGGTACAAACAGCAGTGGATGAAGAAAGAAAGAACACAGATGGATTACACACCTTTCCTTTCTCTTAATTTGCAATTCTGTTAATGAAAATATTAATAATCGATAACCATTATCTAATTTAATGAGTCCCTGGTCATATGTCCGGCTATTCATTTTAGCCAAACAGTTTTGTGGTCTTCGGTAAAGACGTGTTCAACTGTTCTGTCCTTTTAACAGCTGAACCTTGGAAAAACCTAAATCTGACAGTTGTATGCTTTTTTGACACAGATGAGAAGAGAAGCACAGAACTACTATATGCTCAAGATAACAGATGGAAGAGAGAAAAGGCCGTGAGTGGTTCGGGCACTCCCCCCTCATACCTTCTGCCTTCAGTCCTGCTTTCTCTAGCTGTTCTTTAACCACGTCCTTTATGTGCTGCCACTGGGGGTCTCCTTCGCCCATCTCCTGAACTTTGACCTCCCCATCAGGGCTGCTGCCCGTCTTATACTTAGTAATTTTGATCTTAACATGGTCGTCAGCCGCTTGGTCTGGGGTGACGAGACAAAAGAGGGACAAACAACACAGTTCACCTCAGAACCCATCAGCAGGGCCACAGGATGAAGGAGGCAAGAGCCAAGAATGTGAAATCTTATAAAAATCTTGTAAGCATTACATTTGCGCACTTCCACAGACTTCAATTACTGTGATTTGATTTCAGTTATTTCAATTTTTATTTAATTACTAAGAATCACCCACAGATACGTCAA